TCTTCGTGCTGAGAAGCAAAACAAAACTAGACCCCAACCAAAGCAAACCACACTAAAACCGTACAAAAAGAACTAATGGGTAACCTAAAACACAATTAAAATTAAAAGCGGAAGACGATCCATGTTTACCTTCAAAATTGCAGCCTTAAATAAATATGGGGATTGATTGATGGCTGAAGCAACGACGAGTCCTCCAGCACTATGACCCCAACCAGCAAGCTTGTCTTCATGGACAATTTCTTTGTCAACGAGGAATTTGGCACAGGAGATGTAATCTTTGATGGAATTCATCTTCTTTGTACACCTTCCATCATGGTGCCACTTCTTACCTCCACCTCCTCCACCTCTGGGAATATTATCCAAACATGGTTAGTAGGCAATCACAAGGCTATTAGGAAGGAAAAATAATGTGACTTTCGCAGTGCATCAGATGCAAACTACACCCCTACCTCCACAGAACAATTTTAGTTAAAAATCTACCAAGTTTATTCGGTATGAATGAAACTAAGCCTGGAGTAACTTAGAAATGGTATTCAAGACAAACCAGACCTAACGTCAGCATACGCGATGGTCCAACCACGATCAAGAAGGCTTTTCAACTCACTCCGCCACCGCTTGTCCAGAAGCTCACCGTAAGCTCCATGGACATGAAGCAATCCAGGGTTCTGATCCTCTTTCTTGTTTTTACGGGAGTATACAACAGTCAATGGAACAAAAACTCCATCATAAGAAGATACATTATACTGTTCACAAGCATAAAACTCAGAAAGATCATTCCACAACTGAGCATCATCAGAGTTGGCATCAATTATAAAATTCAAAGGTTTTGAATTTATGGTCTCCTCGTTGATGCTTTCTATGGAAGTTGTTCCATACAAAACCCGTGTTCTTTCATGAAGAATATTCTGCTGTTGAACGATATTCCACTTTCCATTTGACAGGTCATAATCAACCACAGCATCGGGCATCTGCGAAAGTTAAGAAGATTGGGTTCATAATTTGGACTTTGGACATGGAACACAAATGGATAGATGATTCCAAACACATGTGCACAATGGTTATGAAACCTCATACTCTCCTTTTGGTGCTACCCAGAGTGGTACAAATTCAGTAACCATAAAACAGAATGATGTCTATTGTGCTTAATAAACCTAACCTGAAAAGTGAAAACCTTGAACTTCAAATACATTGCAAATTCTAAACCAAACCAGGTAGACAATCAAAATTTTGAGATTAGTTGTTTGGCATAAGGATTAATTTACAGAACCCATTCAAACAAGGGAGCTCAAATTACAGTCTTGACATTTTAACAACTTCGTTTCTATGATGGAAACACATTATGAAAGCATAAATCTATGGAAGAATCCTGCCAGTCTTTAGAAGTGATCATTGTAACTCACGTACCACTGGCGATGTTATTGTAAAGCGCATCACTGATGAATGATAATCATAATTTGGTCCAGGTGATATTTGCGAAACATATTTTGGAAGGGGCAGGAATTGGGGGTGAAGCTCTTTTAGATGCACTGCCCCCTGATACAGCATGAGGTGAAAAAAATGAGAATAATAATAGTCAAGAGCATATTTCAAATTCTTTCACATTGAAATTATTGTTAACAATGCATGATGCAGTTGACCTACCTTCCCAGCAGGCAAAGGTAAAGTGACTGAACAAAGTTTAAAGTTTCGCCCTTCCCTTAAAATAACTACTAAGTGTGTATGGCTGAAATCAAGATCCTCAAAAACCCAGTCCTTGTCATTGGCGAATACATTCTGCGGTAAATAAGAAAGTAAATTATTGCCTGGGTTTAACTATCCACATTAAACAAGAAATATCACTCAAGATAAAACAGATAATCGAACTGAAATGCTCATACTAAATGCTGGAAAAAGAAAGCTACTAAACAAAATGTCATGTTAATAACAAAGAGAACTGCTATAGGGCATATCACCAGGAAATAATCACAAACATTCAAAAGCAGAAAATTTTGAAATAGAAAGACGAAAGATTGATTTAAAAAAAAAAAATAATAATGTAAAGTTAAACCACAGACCTCCCATATTCTTGGACTTGAAGAAGAATCTAGAGGACTACGAAGAAGATAATGGTAATCGGTTGACTGGCCCTCTTTTGAAGCATCAGTAAACAGATAAAGATATCCTTGATGATGCTCAAGTATGCCATGGGCTATACCTTCACACTCCCAAACCAAGTTCATACCGGACAATGGATCAGCTGCATTTATCAAAAACACCTAAAAAGAGGTCACAATTACTAATTACTATATCACTTGAACTAAAATTGATGCTTTAGCCTATTACCAATACAAGTCATCTTCAAAACAGTACCTTGGAAGACGTGGTGGAGAAAGTATGCACTGTCACAAACTGGAAATTTTTAGTATGTCGGATGTTAACATAAACATTTTCATTTGGTTCTTCCAGAATCAAAACATCATCATCGGTTGATCCAATCGTGCTACAATATATCCTGATTGATCGAAAAGGCTAGAATTACCAACATTTTCACTCCGGTACAACAAAATAGCACACATAAATAGTAGAAATTCGCAAATTACTGACCTATAAGGCCGCTTGTTTTCATCAGTGACAACATAAAGCAATGCCTGCCCGTCTTTGGCCCAAGCCAAATTCGAAACACGCTCTGCTTTCGGCTTACTACACAATGCACCAGAATTCAAATTCCTAACAGATAATCTAAACAAGTCACTCTCCTTATCATACATTGTGTAAGCTATAAATCGATGATCCGGCGATACTTCCGATAACTCTTCGTAAGCATAACCTACACAAAATTCAACTCAAACTCAATTTCCAAAAAAAAAAAAAAAAAAAAAATCCAGCTTTTAACAAAAATTAGTAAAAGATTAGAAATTTACCCCCATATCTTTGTGATTCCTGATTGTAATCAATGAGCTTCTGCTCGATCCTTTTTCCCGAAGTGAAATCGAATCCGGAAGACGGCGATTTGTGTGAAATGAATTCGTCGTTTAAACTCGCTAGTCTCCGGCAGAGCACCGGAAATTGCTTCCCCTCCTCCACGCGGCGGTAGTACAACCTGCAAACGTCTGATTCTCAAGCCGGAAACCCAGAAAATGGACGAAATTGAGGTGATAATTACTGTTCATACCAGGGGCCCCAGCGAAGGGGAGGGGTGGAGAGGTCGGAGGCGATGCGAGAGGCCATCTCGGACTGGAGCTTGCTCTGGAGGCGGTCGGTGCCGGACATGACGGCCTCCGTGTACTTCTCCTCTTGCTCCATGTACATATCCAGGTGCCGCATCGCCACCTTGTCGTTGAGCTTCGACATCCAGTTGTACGGGTCCTCCCACGTGTGGTCGTGGAAGGTGAAGCTCTCGGGCTTCTGCGGCGGCCGTGGCGGTCTCGGTTGCGCTGAGGGGGTCGGTGCCGGCTTCTGGGCCTTGTGGTGGGCCCACCGCAGACGGCGGAAATGGTGGCGGAGGGGTTTTAGGAGGTGGCGCATGTCGGGGGTATGTTGTTGCTGGGTTTACGCTCGGGGTTTTATGTGAAGCCAAATTACAAAAATGGGTCTTGTAGTTTGAGTGTTTAACCATGGGTCTAATGTACGTTCCGATTTTATAAACTTTGGGCGTAAATGTGGGAGAATTAAACGCGAGTTTGGCCGGTAGATTGATGGATTGCTTTGGTGTCCCGCGGTTAGCGTCTTCTTTATCCAATTATGTTTTTAAACTCTCTGTTTTCTATATAAATTGGATTCCTGTTTTCTACACGTAAGCCATGAATTTGTAATTGTGTTAAAGTTGAGGGACCATTACTTTAATTGAGTTAAAATTGAGGGATTATTGCTCCAATTGAGTTAAAGTTGAGAGATCATTTCTTCAATTGAGTTAAAGTTGAGGGACCATTGCTACAATTTTTCTCATTTAATTTTCTATATTTGCCCCTTTATTCAATCTCACGTGCGTAACACGTGCTCATTTTGATGGAAGTTTAACCTGAGTTGACGAAAAAGCACCACATATGCACGTTTTGATGAGTTAAGAAACCAATGGGCATAGATTTTTAGTTGAATGACCATTACTTCAATTAAATTATAGTTGAAGGACCATTGCTACAATTTCCTCTATATAAAAAATATCATGGATTTATAAATTCATTAAAATCTTTAAAATCACAATTGAATACAAAAGGGTAACTTATCATTCTTAACCTTCAACATTGTTTGGCTAATAAATGTCAAATGTTGATGTGATGGCTAATGTGCCAATGTCAAATTTTCTCATCCTTCAATCCATTTGTTTTTTTTTTAATAAACGATATTATTTACACTAAAGAGGTGAAAAGTTTAAGTTAAGTTTCACATTGGACTAGCAATAGGGTGATTCAAATTCGCTTTGGGCGAGAATCGAGCCTAAGACCTGTCACTTACAAGTGAATAGAAACACAAATTCATTTGTTTTTTTTTTTTTATATATTATAAATAATACTTGTAAGACCCATTTTCAAAATTTATAATTGGTACATTATTGAGACCCACCACAATAAAATAATTAAATAATTAATCCACGTAAGATGGATATATCGGGTGAAACTTCTTTCTATTTTCAAATTTAATTACGTGGTATTCCACTTATGATTTGACGTATCGTTTGAAGATGGTTTTGTGAGTTATAGAACTTTGATTGAGGTCCTTCTACTTTTGTACGCGTCATATTATTTAACATTTATTTAAGTCCATGTAAGTTTTTTACTTATTTATTTTAATAATCATTAGTTAGTATTTAACATAGGGTGCGAAATTTTAGTAGTCTTGATTTGCACCATAAAACTGTCCTTTAGTCTCACTTTATGCCATGAAATTGTTTGTCTCACTTTATCTTATGAAACTGCTTTTTTGTCTTATTTAGCCTCAGTTCACCCTATTTTCATTCATCTTGTCAAATAAACATTAAATTAAACAATAGTATGGACCTTTTATTTTTAACACAATTTTTTGCCTCCAATTTGTTTGCTAAAACAATCTCAATTTCCATTTTCGATGACTCTAATTCAAACTCCCGTCCATCTCTCTTGAAGATTGATGCAGAGCTGTTGTAGAGCAGTTGAATTCAAGGCTTGAATTAGATTTTAAAATACAAACAATTATTTGCTTTTAAAACCCAAACCATTATTTGCTTTTAAAACCCAAACAATTATTTGCTTTTACCAACGGCTGCAGCTACAACTCTACACTAATCCGCAAAAGAGACAAGGGGTTTGAGTTAGAGTTTTCGATGAAATTGGGATTACCATTTTTTTTTTTTTTTTTTTTGTTCAAGGTTCATTTCATTACCAACAAGTAAGTTTACAAAAAATGAGGCCACAAATAAAACAAAAGAAATTGGAGCCCAGAAAAAAGAAAAAGACAAGAAACCCTAGCAACTTCTTCAATCTTCCTGCAACCGCCGCCGCCAGAAGCTGGTGAACCAAAGAGGAGACCGAAGCCTCAACAAGTGATCTGTAGAAGATGGTATTGTAGCATCCAACCGGAACTAGCAATAGGCGTCATCTTCAAGCGATCAAAGGATAAGTCAAACATGACTCTTGAACGATCCGACCAACCACTGTAGACGTGAAATCCACAAATGTGAGAAGGAAGAGGGGCACCAACATCAAATGAAAACAACAAGACATCAAAAGTAGTAAACCCAAAAGTAAAAACATCCAAAAAAACCTTAGTCCCCATTAAGTAGAACCAGCCCAACGTCGCATGTCTCCGGCCATCACCCATCGGAGTAGCTGCCATGGAGCAACCAAAACCAAAGTGGATCTGCAAATACCAAGGCACAACAAAATCAACCCAAAAATGGCAAGCACACCCTAAGCCAAAATCAAATCTTAAAGTACAACAATCGAAATTCCAAATTAGGTCCAAAACTTTAAGATCTAATTTTTGGGTAAGGAAGAAGGAAGATTGTGCAGAAGAAAATGGTTGAAATTGATTGATGTGTAGGTTGGTGATGGAGAAATGGAAGGGGTGGGGTTGAGGGAAAGGGGCTACAAGATGGGGACTATGGTATGAAAAGAAGGCAGAAGGTAAAAAGAAAAATTCCAAGCCGTCGACTCTCAAAATGGCAATCAGATGGAGAAGTAGAAGGGTCGGAGGGAATAGCTCTCGCAGAGAGAAATCAATTAAGAAATTGGGGTTACTTTAGTATTCAAGTTGAAGGCAAAGAGTTGTATAAAAAATAAAATGTCATTCTTTAATTTAACATATATTTGATGGAATGGAAAATGGGATGAATTGAAGACAAAAATGACAGTTTCATGGGACAAAATAGACGAAACCAGTTTCAAAAGATGAAGTGAGAGTAAATGATAGTTTCACGAGTCAAATAAACTAATTTACCTATTCCAATTTGATTTCAAAATCAATCAACTCTTTTTTTTTTTCGGTATTCAGCTCTCTCTATCTCCCATCTCCTTCTCTCCATATATCCTTAAGTCGTTTTGCTCTAAGGGTGCGTTTACTAATTCGTAATCAAATTGAGAGAAATTAAATTAAGGAGGAATTGGATTGATGGTGAATTGAAATGAGGTGGAATCAGAATCGGATTCCTGTTGAAGTTGTTTACTAAAACTGTTTAGAATCAGAGTAGGAATGATGTTGAGTCCATATAAGTTGTTTACTAATTCATTTCAATCGAAATGAAAACTCGGTTGATTACCATATTGCCCTTACATAAATAAATTATCTTCATACCAATTAATTTAATTTAATTCTTAATTAAATTTATATAATAAAATTCATCTATATAAAAATATATAAATAGGTTTTATTTATTTATTAAAAAATGACATGAATGATGTGATATCCCACATCGCCCAGGGGACTGATCCTTATATGTATATTCCATCTCTACCTAGCACGAGGCCTTTTGGGAGCTCACTGGCTTTGGGTTCCGTAGGAACTCCGAAGTTAAGCGAGAAGAGGGCTAGAGCACTCCCAGGATGGGTGACCCCTCTGGGAAGTTGCTCGTGAGTTCCCAAAAACAAAACCGTGAGGGAATGGTAAGCCCAAAGCGGACAATATTGTGCTATGTATATTCCATCTCTACCTAGCATGAGGCCTTTTGGGAGCTCACTGGCTTTGGGTTCCGTAGGAACTCCGAAGTTAAGCGAGAAGAGGGCTAGAGCACTCCCAGGATGGGTGACCCACTGGGAAGTTGCTCGTGAGTTCCCAAAAACAAAACCGTGAGGGAATGGTAAGCCCAAAGCGGACAATATCGTGCTACGGTAGTGGAAACGGGCCCGGGAAGTGATCCGCCCCGGGTCGGGATGTGACATTGGTATCAGAGCCTTACCCTGGCCGCGTGTGTGCCGACGAGGACGTCGGGCCCCTAAGGGGGGTGGATTGTGACATCCCACATCGCCCAGGGGACTGATCCTTATATGTATATTCCATCTCTACCTAGCACGAGGCCTTTTGGGAGCTCACTGGCTTTGGGTTCCGTAGGAACTCCGAAGTTAAGCGAGAAGAGGGTTAGAGCACTCCCAGGATGGGTGACCCACTGGGAAGTTGCTCGTGAGTTCCCAAAAACAAAACCGTGAGGGAATGGTAAGCCCAAAGCGGACAATATCGTGCTACGGTAGTGGAAACGGGCCCGGGAAGTGATCCGCCCCGGGTCGGGATGTGACAAATGATGTTGAATCCATATAAATTGTTTACTAATTCACTTCAATCGGAATGAAAACTAGGTTGATTACTAAATTTCCCTTACATAAAGAAATTATTTTCATACTACTTAATTGAATTAAATTTATATAATAAAATTCATCTATATAAAAATATATAAATAGTTTTTATTTATTTATTAAAAGATGGCATAATGAGTGCCAAATGAAGGGCAATGTTGGGATAATTAGAAACAAGTGAGGGCATAATTGGTAAATAAAATCCATTCCGGATTCCTCAAGTCACAAGGAATTGAAATACCACCCTTTTGTAGGGAGTCCAATTCCTCCAAAATTAGGAGTTGGATTCCTTAATGCGTGTGAACCCCATATGTCTTTTGATTCCCCAAGATTATGTAAATAAAGGTGTATGCCGTAATCGGAATCCAATTCCGTAAATTGATTTCGATTATGGGTACGTAAACATGCCATAAATCATTTCAAAGTCTGGTAGCAAACAAATAAACTTCATAGCCATTTAAAGGAGGTGGATTGTCTGCCCTTCCATTTCCATACTCTTCCTATGCCTTTCTGTTTGTGTGGTCACGGTTAAGCCATGTTAACATTTTATATTCCTATTACTTTTTGTTTTATTATTTCTATAAAAAATTAATATAAAATGTTGACGTGACTTAACCGTAACCATGCATCACAGGAGGGTATGAGGAGAACATGAAAATGGGACGACAGACAATCCACCTCTCAATTTAAATGCCTTAAGTTTTTCGTTTTCTTTATGGTAAGAACATCCACTAACTAATCTTTTTCTTTTTCTTTTTATATTGTTCAATCAAATATTTTGACATTTTTTCTATATTTTTAGTTGGCTTTTGATAAGGTAATAAAACATTGGGTAAATTACAAAAAACTACTTCAACTATTGGGCTAATCAGAGTTTCATACTTCATGTTTAAAACATTTCAATATCATACCTCAACTTATAAATTTGTTGCAATGTCAGACATCCGTTAAATTTTCTGTCAAATTGACTGTTAAATGTTGACGTGGCTTGAGGCGAGGCCCACTTCCTATTAAAAAAATTAATTAAATATTACTACAACAACAACAACAACAAAGCCTTTTACCACTAAGTGGGGTTGGCTATTCTATATCATATCCTCCGTTAGATCCAAATACTCTAAGTCTTTTCTTAGAGTCTTTTCCAAAGTCTTCCAGGTATTTCTCTACCCCTTTGGCCATGGACCTCTGTCCCGTAGTCGCATCTTCTAACCGGAGCGTCAGTAGGCCTTCGTTGCACATGTCCAAACCACCGTAACTGATTTTCTCTCATCTTTCCTTGAATTTCGGCTACTCCTACTTTACCTCGTATATCTTCATTCCTAATCTTATCCTTTCTCGTGTGCCCACACATCCAACGAAGCATCCTCATCTCCACTACACCCATTTTATGTACGTGTTGATGCTTCACCGCTCAACATTCAGTGCCATACAGCATCGCCGACGTTATTGTCGTCCTATAAAATTTTCCCTTGAGCTTCAGTGGCATACGATGGTCACACAACACACCAGATGCACTCTTCTACTTCATCCATCCAGGTTGTATTTTATGGTTAAGGTTTCTATCTAAATCTTTGTTCTTTTGCAAGATAGATCCTAGGTAGCGAAATTGGTCACTCTTTGGTACTTCCTAATCTCTGATCCTCACCCCTAACTCATTTGGGCTTCCATTTGCACTGAACTTGCACTTCGTATATTCTGTCTTTGATTGACTTAGGCGAAGACCTTTAGATTCCAACACTTCTCTCCAAAGGTTAAGCTTCGCATTTACCCTTTCCTGAGTTTCATCTATCAACACTATATCGTCTGCGAAAAGCATGCACCAAGGAATATCATCTTGAATATGTCCCGTTAGCTTATCCATTACCAATGCAAAAAGGTAAGGACTTAAAGATGAGCCTTGGTGTAACCCTACAGTTATGAGGAAGCTTTCGGTTTGTCCTTCATGAGTTCTTACGACAATCTTTGCTCCATCATATATATCCTTTATAACTTGGATATATACTACTCGTACTTCTTTCTTCTCTAAAATCCTCCAAAGAATATCTCTTGGGACCCTATCATACGTTTTTTCCAAATCTATAAAGACCATGTGTAAATCATTTTTCATATCTCTCTATCTTTCCATTAATCTTCGTAAGAGATAGATTGCCTCCATGGTTGAGTGCCCTGGCATGAACCCAAATTGGTTGTCCGAGACCCGTGTCTCTTAACTCAATCTATGCTCAATGACTCTCTCCCAGAGCTTCATTGTATGACTCATTAGCTTAATACCCCTATAATTCATGTACTTTTGTATATCGCCCTTATTCTTGTAGATAGGCACCAAAGTGCTCTTTTGCCACTCATTTGGCATCTTCTTCGCTTTCAAAATCCTATCAGAAAGGTCTGTGAGCCATGTTATACTTGTCACTCCCAAGACTTTCCACACTTCGATTGGTATATCATTTGGGCCCACTGCTTTTCTATGCTTCATCTTTTTCAAAGCTATACAACCACTTATTCCTTCCTAATTCGACGGTAAAAGGAGTAGTTTCTACACTCTTTTGAGTTCCTCAACTCCCCCAGAGAAATACTCCTTTCATGTCCTTCATTGAAAAGATTATGAAAACAACCTCTCCATCTATCTTTGACTACATTGGAGAGGTTATTAAAAACAAAAAATAAAATAAAATCATTTAATAATTTTTTTTTAAATGGAGGACCCACACCTACAATCCCATCCCCCTTCTTCCCTATGCACCTGTGTCCCCTACCCCCAACCTTCCTTCACCACCAAAACTAGAACCCCACCATGACTCTCCTTCGTCTTCATCCTCCCTACTCGATCGTCTTCTCCACCTAGCCACCTCTGCCAAATTCCAGTCAAGTCTTCCTACTTCTGCAACTCTCCAAAAACCCTTAAATGTCCATCAAATCCTAGACTAATTACTTCATCCTTCAACTCTTTTCTTCTTCTCCTATGGGCTATGAGAACTAAGGCTCAGACGAAGCCCACCCCTCTCGTCGTCGCTGTCCTCTTTGCAGATCGTTTCCGTCGCCACCTCTACCAGCACTGTTGCAACAACGCCAACCGACGCCAATTCCCTTTTTGAGCCTTCACTATATTGCGATCTCCGAAACCGTAGCTCGACCCCCAACAACTCCACGTACATCGACCCACATCAAGAGCCTTGTCAAGAGCTCTGACAACTTGAGCTCGTACTCTCTCTCATGATCTCTGCCTTCTTCCTCCAAGTACCTCAAAATCACGGTGTAAAATTTCTGGGATTTTGACTTGGGCAATCTCGCCCTTGAGGATAATAAGGGTGCAATAGTAGGGATTATAGGGGAATATGGTAGAGGAGGAGGAGGGGGAGAGGGAGAGAAAGGGGGATGAGGAAGAAGAAAAGAGTTGGAGGACACAAGTGTGAAGGAAGGTTAGGGGTGAGGGACACGGGTGGATAGAGAAGAAGGGGGGATGGGTTTGTAGGAGTGGGTCCCTCATTTAAAAAAAATTATTAAATGATTTTATTTTTTAGTTTTTAATATTTAATTAATTTTTTAATAGGAATTGGGCTCCGCCTCAAGCCACGTCAGCATTTAATGGTCAATTTGATAGAAAAGTTAACGGAGGTCTGACATTACAACAAATTTATAAGTTGAGGTATGACATTGAAATGTTTTAAACATGAGGTATGAAACTGTGATTG